TGCGGCCAACACAACTGCATCTCCACCAGAACTGTTCATCAAATTCCTACTTTCTTCAGATTGTACAAGAGCATAAACTTCCTGGACTGATGGATCTGGACCCTGATAGACTCATATGTAGGGTTCAAACCATGTAAGAAAGAAAACACTCTCTACTGGGAGACGAGTTTTTTGTACAGCTTTGCATCTTCATCAAACTTCCATTCCACACTCTGATAATGATCCAACTCCTTCTAGACAGAAGTCAAGTCAGAGTAATATACAGATAGACACCTCTCCCCCTGTTTACAAGTAGACGATTCTGCCTGTAGTTGGTAGATTTTTGCATAGTGTTGCAATTCCGAATATGTTGATTTTGTTTGTTCCCATATCTCATTTGCCGTTTCAGCCCACATGAAATTCCTCCTTATTTGAGGTTGCATAGAGACTAAAATCCAAGACATAACCATGCTGTTTTTCTGATTCCATCTATCATGTTCAGCACTCCCAGAGTGTGGTTCTTTTATTCTCCCATTAATATAACCTATCTTGCCCCTTGCAGTGATGTACAGCTTGATCCCTCTTGACCACTCTAAATAATTTAAACCATCGAGAGGGACAACAGTCATGGGAAAGGATAGGTCCACACCCCCCACTCATTCCATTCAGCGTTGAGGAAACTCCGGATGTAGCAGAATCTTCACCACTCATGATTTCAGATTCAGAAACAACACTCAAAAGAGGAACACAGCCTCAAAAAATTGTTACAGAAGGTACCAGCCACTTCCAGACCTTCAGGCCACCAAAAAGCTGCTGTTGCAGCACATAAACAAGGTCCTTACGACCTACGGTTTCACAGGGATCAAACGACCACACAAAAAGAAGGAAAAGAAAGGGGTGCAGCTCACCTCACATCCAAGCAGCAGACCTAGTACAGGTCCAGCACAGGCACACGACCAGAAAGGAGAAGAGAGTAAACAAAAGGTACTTCAGTCGAACATCAGGACAGCCGAACAGCAGATGAGAACAAAGTAAAAAAAAAGGTTACTTCAGTCGAACATCAGGGCAGCCGAACAGCAGATGAACAGCAGATGATAACTTCTGAAAGTCTGTCACCCTCAAAACAAAGTCTTCTACATGTTGGAAGAGGAAAAGACAGACTGCTCAACCTCACCCTTCAGACCTGGACGTCCTACTTTGATACCATGTTGTACAGGAAGAAGAGAGAAAGGGAGAGAGGAGAGGAGAGACGAGAGGACTGAGAGCCCAAAAAGATACTGCAGGCGGCACAGTACGTTATATTTATACTAGGGCGACAACAACTAAACATAAAGAAAAGGAAAAGTACAATAGTACCCCTGCGGTACTATATATATATATATAAAATAACATCTGTTAACAGGGATTAAAAACTTAAGACCCTAACATGGACTTATTTGGGCTTGCCTCAAGGGGCTTGGTCAAGGGTGCCCCTGGCCCAGCTGCTAGGTTCAAAAGAGAACAAAATGTGCAAGGTGAATTTTAAGGTATGGTGGATTTTAATGTTCAAAAAAGAACAAAGTGTTGTGCCTCAGGCATAGGCAAGGTGCAGTTTTTAGGTATGTGTCTAGGCTTGCAAGCTCGCCTTTTAATCACTGTTGCTGATGTATTGGCAAAAAAAGGGGCGGGTAGATATCAAAACAAGGGGGAGTTTGGACCCTCAGGTGGGACTAGTCAGCATGAAAAAGACAATGGAACCAGAGACATCTCTGAAGTGAGAGCTCCAGATAGAAGTCTTAGAGATCAGAAGGAGAGGGATGGAAGATTTCCTATTAAAAAATTGGTGGAGAATGAAGTTGAGATTGGTAAAAATCTTGGCTTGTTTTTCTGGGGAGGCAAGGAGCTTTCTAAGAAGGCGTTTGAAGAATATGAGAGGAAGAGGGAGGAAGAGAGGTTGAAGAAAGTGGCAGCTGCAAAAGGAGAAGTGGGATGAAGATGATGACAGGCAAGAGGAAATGTTTGAGGAGGAGGATTAGGAGTTTGTGTGTCTAGATTCTGAGAAGTGTTGGAGATTGTCGAGGTGGGTGAAGGTGGCCAGATCTGGAGCTTTTGTCTCTCTGTTTGAATGTCTTTGTATTCTGGTTTTTTGGATGTAAGCTGTTTTAGTGTCTCTCTTCTCTCGGGTGATTTCTTATCACCTTTCCTTATCTGCCCCTTTGCCTCTTTTACTTATTTTTCCTTAATAAGTTTTAAAGTTATTTATCAAAAAAGAAAAAAAAATGCATATCCCACCTTGGGGCCCAACATTTCTCCCAGCTGCTTCTCTCATACACACTGTTTTTCACATTATTCAGTGCAATTTTTCATACTCATGGTTTTCCATATCCATGGTGAAACTAAGAGAAAAACTAAAATAGGCTGGGAATAAGTTAATGCTCTGTTAGTTAGAATGGAAGTGAAAATAAGCCATAGATGATTCACAAGATCCACTTCATTGTTTGGCTCTGAAGAAAGAGCTGGGCTGAATCCCAAATTAAACAGATTTTTAGCTGCCTTTTCTTCTGTTCAATTAAAATTTGGGATTCACAGGGGAGCATTAGTCATAATATATCCTTTGGTTTTGATGCTTGCTCCAGGGTTTCAATTTCTGTCCTCTGACTCCAAACACAGACTAAATGAACATTCCAAGAGTTATAAGGTACCTAAGCATAACATTTTATGGTGAGATTCCTAGGTTTTACTATATCTTCATGTTTTCCCCCTCCTTTTGTAACATTGACCTTTATAGTAAGATTCCAAGATTCCTTCCTGATCTAATGCTGCAAACCCAATATCACACTGTTCAATTCATCAAGAGGTCAAAATAATTCCTTTACCACTTTTAGAAGAGATAAGTAATTTAAAGTGTACAAATAGGTTTGAGGCTTGATAAAATAGCAATTAAACAGGGAACACAATAGGGAACATTAAGAAGATTCATTTAAAAACCCCTTCCAGAACTTGGAGAATGACTATATGAAGGACTAATGACTAAACACACAAGTGTACTATGTTTGACATGAGATCCAAGGATGCAAACATGATTAACATTTCTAGTCATTCTCACAAACATAACACAGGAGATGGTAAATGTAATAGAACAACTTGTAAAGGGAAACTTTATATTTTATCATATTAGAAAATGAAACTAGAATGCACTTGTTAGGAGTATCAATCAGATTAGTGGCATCTATCAACAGCAATGTAACATGGACTGCCCTTAATGGATAACGTGTTGTGTTGGAAAATGTGTCCTGAGTCCAACAACACTCCATGGATCTTGAGTTGAGGTCACTTCAACATAACATTTCCTTTTTATCTCCTAGCCCAGTGGCCTATTGACATAAATGAGAAACTAATCTACAAGATGAATACATTTTTTGTATCAAATATCAGTTAATAACAAAAGCAACACTTTTTAAAATATTTCAGAAGAAGAAGAAGAAGAAGAAGAAGAAGATGGAGAAGGGAGTTCAATTATCTCCTCTCACCCCTCACTAATTCTTTTATTAATCTTCATTAACTGGGTTAATTACAAGTCTGCCCTTAAGTGGGCGGCCAGCTAAGCAAGGACTTTGAAAGAACTTATAAAAGAGATTAACAGGCCCATTAACATACAAAACAAATAACATACTACTTAAACATAAAATCAGATACTAGGGCCCATTAGGCCCAGTCTCTCTACACTCCCCATCAAGCTGAGCATAGATGTCAATCATGCCCAGCTTCCTTATATAGTGTGTCAGTTTCCCTTTTGGAACACCTTTGGTCAAAACATCAGTCAACTACTCTTCTGAAGAGATAAATAGCAAGCAAACTTCCCCTGAAGCAACTCTCTCCCGTAACCACAATGTCATCAACATAAACAATCAGAAAAGTCACCAAGGAGTTACTTCTTTTTAGAAACAAAGTATGGTCAGATTGAATTTGTGTGCAATCAAAGGAGACAAGGGCAGCTCTGAATCTCTCAAACCATGCTCGATTGACCAAACAAAAATCAAAAAACAAGGTTTTCAATCTTTATAGATCTAAAGGTCCCAAAACTAGGGTTTCACTGCACTCGACTTTCAGGAAGAAAGAGAGAAGTACCCGCTCCTAGCAAAGTTTCCCAAACCTCTTCCAACTACAATCGCCCACTTCTAGAGATCAAAAGGAGCCCCTCCAAGCCTTGAGCGCCACATCCAAACAGTCTCTTTAACCTATAATTGGAAACTCTCTAGTCGGCTAGGGTTTTGGGCAAAACAATCAGCAGCCCCACTTTCTTGGCAATCTATAGCCAGATTTTGACTCTCCAAACCCTCTACCAACTAGGCAAAAAAGTTCTCTGAATAATTAGCAACGTATATCTCCATGTGCTCTTCTAATCGAAGGGTGTATGGAAAAAGAAAAGGAAACCAAAAGATGAAGAAGACCCTGCTCTAATACCAAGATGTGATTCAGTCCAATAAAAGAACAGTAAAATATTTCAGATTATAGGAGAAAAGAAGAAGAAGAAGAAAAGGATGGAGAAGAAGAGAGAAAAAAGGAGTTTCATAATCTCCTCTCACCCCACACTAATTCTTTTATTAATCTTCGTTAACTGGGTTAATTACAAGTCTTCCCTTAAGTGGGTGGCCAGCTAAGCAAGAACTTATAAAAGAGATTAACAGGCCCATTTACATACAAAACAAATAACATACTACTTAAACATAAAAACAGATACTAGGGCCCATTCTGCCCAGTCCCTCTACATAGGTATAATGTCAGAATTCAAAATAAAGAATTATTTTAATATTATATAATTTTCCATGGACATGCCTGTAAGTCCATGTTTTCTCATCTTGCCAAGCCAGTCTCTTGTACATGTGTTGGATTCTGTAAATCCATGCAACACTAATCAACAGCAAGCATGGATTGAACCTCCCTAGTGTAGTTCAGAAAGGAAAGGAAGAGAAAAAAGGAGGGGAATGAGAAGAAAAGAGAAGAAGAAAGATAGATAGAGAGATCAAGAGAATTTTAAATACCTTGAGCTTTTGGAAATAGCTATCAAGCTCGCTACTGGAACCATCTTTCATTGGGCTTCCTCCTGAGGAAAAGAGCCGCTCCTCACCTGAGCCCTCACCTACCAAAGCTTGCTGCAGGAACACAATAATAAAATTGGCATACTTCAGTTAAACAACTCAATATCATGGAAATGTGAATGTTCAAGTAGAACAGCAACTAATGAAGCAGGACACCCATGGTACCACGTAATACTTCGCATTAGGATCACAAATAATAATATTGAGGGTTCAGACATAAAGTATTGCAACCAACTGGGGATTAACACCAGTTGAACTGGACACAAACTGGTATATCAAGAAAACAAGAAAGTAAAGGCATCCTGTCTTCTAAACGGTTAGAAAAATCATGCAGAAAAAGATCAACAATCAGAAATTTCGCTTAAAAAAATATTCATCTCCAACTCAAGTATAACTCCCTTGATGCCCTATTCATATATATCAAATTAATGTTAAAATATGAAGAACTCTCCAAAGCACCAAAAATCATAAAGTTAATTAATAATATAAGTCTGAGGCCAAGTAGACTTCATAAGCTAAGAAAATAAATTCTATACATTCGAAGTCTCCCTAGAAGAGAGGAACAGGGTAGCAGGACAGGAGGGCGGACAGTTGTATCATAGCCAGACAGAATAGCAGGAGAACAAAGGAGGTAGAATTAATTAAGGGAAAGGTATTAACGGAGGTAGTGAAAAATGGTAAAATGTGGCATGGAAGGGAGAAACAGGATAGGAATCTATTGGTAGAAAAGAAAGGTGAGGGTTGCTAACAAAATGCAGAAGCTAGTGGAAAGAGGGGTTCAGAAGAGCAGGTGGAAGAATGAAATGGTAAAAACACAAGGAATAAGAACTGGTAGGGAGAGATCAAGGGCCCCTCTTCCAACTGACTATATGATTACTTTTATTACCATGCTATTTTGGCATCTAGGGTGGTGCTGTAGTGTTTTCTGGTTACGTACTCATGTTGCAGGATTTTGGTTGCAGTCTGGCCCAGGTTGATTTGGCTTCAATAACTCATGCATATTGGTAGCTGTGTGGTGATTCTCTAATTATGTATTTTGTGGCTTTCTATATCAATATTTCCAATTTTGGATGTTGTAATTGGATTAGAGGTTGAAGTTTATTTCCATTTCCCCCATCTTGCTTTCTTTTTTTCCTTCCTTTCCACTTTCAATAAATCATTATCCATCAATAAAGAATCATGTTATCCATTAAAAAGAAAAATGTAATTTCTTAAATTATTTGTCTATTTATCTATTAATATAACCTTTTCACTTCATTCCAGCAAGGAAGTCTCAAATTTAACTAGATTTAGCAAGGGAGCTTTTCACTTCTTCCACTGGTTTCTCCTTCACAAGGCAAATGCTAGAATAAAGAAGAGGAATCAGGCAAAAGAACAACAAGTTCAAACACTTGTGGTGCCAAATTTGTCCCTGAGGTGAAAGTAGCATGAACGTTGAGTAGCGATAACTGAACACTGAAGACGCAAAGGCAACCACCATTGCTGGGCGTCTGTGGTGTGACAACGCATGAAAGGGTCTTGTTTAAAGATGTTGTTAAGCCATGAGCTTGACCTATGGATAGAGAGTGTCAATTATCAAGTAAGGATGACACATTCCTGATTGAAACATTGGTAGGTAGAGTAGATATGAGGAAATTCTTAGAGGAGTGCTTAGCCAGCAGAATCAAAGGTAAGACTCCAGATGCAACAAGGGTTAAGGAATGGACTTGGGAGGTATGGGGCCCAGTGTCAGAGATGAAGATGAAGAAACTAGTGAAGAGGCATTTCTTTTCATTATCCCCTCAAGGGAGTAAGCAGAGAAGATCCTTCAGGTGGCGCAATGGAAAATTAGAAATAATAGACTATGCTTGATCAATGGAGTGCGGAGTGCCCGTGTGGGTTTCAATATGGACGAACTCTCAATAAAGGACAAGGGGGGAGGAAGTTGTACTGGTTCAAGTATATGACCTACTGATACTTTGGAGCCTGAAAATCATTAAAGCCATTGGAGATCCCTGCATTGGCTTCCTAAGGATGGAAAACTCAGCCGTAGAAGTTGTGACATGTAAAATGGGTGCAGCTGCAGATGATCTAGAGGGGCAAGGTGCCAACAACTGTATGTGTTAAGGTGAGGAAAGTGGTACATTCAATCCACATTTCATCAAAGCTGGAACCACCTATGGAGCCACTATCTCCAGCACTAAGATTTGAAAGACTTTATCTCTGAGTAAATCCACGATTACAGTAAGGGGGAAGCTCTCTGGAATATGGATTCATTAGTGGGATGAACTGTTGCAAATCAGCAAGGCAGGGAGATAAGCAGAGGAAGGAACACAATGAGAGCCCTGGAGTTGCAATTCCTGCTGCCAGAGACCAATGTGAGGAACAGGACGACAAAGCACCAAAGCAGATCACTGTTGTGGCGTTCAAAGCCCCTGAGGAGGTAGTAGATCATTTTGATCCTAGTCACCAAATTTCTAATCAAGTGCTAAGCAGATGGACCATAAAAAGGTGAGGAAGTTCAAAGTTTAAATGGACAAGAGCTAACATCGCTGTAAAAAAGGAGGGAGTTGAAGTCTGTCATAAAAGAATGCTTGCTGGAAATGAACATTACATATTATAATCACTGGGCTGAGCAGAATGTTTGAGTTTATAAATGCAAAAGAAGGCCCACAAAGAATTTGGAATTTTGGACAACCAAAAGAAGGCCTTGTGGAAGCCTAGTAGTCCGTCCACATGTAGAGGACCACAAACCAGCCCAAGAGACTGTAGATAAACCCAGTAGCTCAAAATCAAAGGGACCCCAAGGCCTTAAACATTAATGAAAGGTGGTCACTCCAAAGGGCGGATCAAGATCCTTTGTGTGGTTTGTGTGAAGAGGCAAAGGTTTGGCGATTGATCAAGAAGACTCGTGGAAAGATGAGGAGGCCGAATCCAGCATCTCTAGATCTCCGTGGTTTAAAGGAAGCCCCAGAAAGATCCGAAAACATATACAATTGCAGTTGTGAAAATAGAGGACCAAGCAGAAAATCTGTCACCATTAAGTAAGGTGCAAGGGGTTGGTCTGCAAGGTGGTATGATGTCCCAGTTGAGGTTGAGGATGTAGATGGCTCCTCAGTGTTTTTGCAAGAGTAAGGTGCAGTTAGAGAGGAGTCAATGAAAGAGTCTGTGAATTTGCTCAGATTCAAGGGGAGGAATGAATGCATATCCTGTATTGCAGAACACTTGTAAGGAGGAAGTAATCTTGGGTTGCATGCTATTGAAGATGCTAAAGTTTGGGGAGTTTATAGTTTTTGAGGTACCAAGGCGAGGCTAGGCGACAGGGGGGCGCCTTGTCGCCTAGTCGCCTAGGCGATGGATATTTTTATGTAGAAAACATAGATCCTAGTGTAGTTCCCTAGGTACCATAACCATATTACCTTAATAATTATTCATAATTTTCATAAGAAAAGTATAATGTTCATATTAAAGTATAGAAAATCAACATATTCATGAGAAGAAAAAGAAGAAGTAAAAGAAAATTCAAAAAATATAGGGGCTTAACCCTTATTTTTGTTATAGGAAAACAAGAAAAGAAAAAGTATTGGTAGTAGTAGTAGTAATAGTAGTAGAATATATGGAAGAAGAAAATGTGTTGATTAGACAATTTTATAAAATGCACATCACCCTTGTAAAGGTCAAGTGTTGCAAGAATATTATGAAAACAATATAGTTCAAATTGTTAGCTTCTACAACCTACCAACAAGAGCTTCTTATGTTGTTTTCTTTGTGGAAGAATTCCAAGTGCATCCAGCATTGGCTCATCCAGTTCTACAAAGAACATGCAAGTTTCAATAAGTACGGATAAATAGCAAATAAGAACTAAGGTTAGTAGTTTCAATGTATTACCTTTTGTTTGCAGTAATGTAGCCATCATGTACAAAGAACCTGACACTTGTATGTCACTCCCACTAACCACATATGACCACAACAACTCCCTATATAAAAGAGAACAGTATTAATAAATCGTTATTCATATTCTGAAAGAAAAGGAAAATTAGTTATACCACAACAGTGCAGTAAAACAAAGAATATTCTCATCAAGAAAAGTAGTTCTAGTGATGGCTAGCAGTAACCCAAGAGCTCATCAAGTAGAATATGTGTGTTAACAAATAACAAGTGGAACATTAACATTCAGAGGGAAAATATCTACATATATGTAATATATGTCTCTCCATCGCCACTGCTTTAGGTCTCTAGTGCCAAGGTTCTCTTTCTTTTTCCTTGAACTTGATCCCCCTTGAGTTAAGTCCTTTGCGCTCAGATGGGTTAGATGGCCTGACCCTTTTAGGGTCTTCACCAGTTCAGGTGTGGTCATTTTTGTTGACCCTCCGGTTCCTCCTGGCTCTTCAACTGGAATATACACATGACTCTGGTAGATCTTGACAACTAGGCCCAGCGACGTATCCCAGGCTTCCCCTCTCTACCATGCATTCCTTTATTAACTTGTTTAACTCTTGTATGGATCCCTACCATACGTCTGCTTCTGCCTCATTTGAATTAGAACTTTGAATTATCGGCTCACCTATTTGATCAGGTAAGATCACCTTAGAAATCAAATGGCCATCAACTGACCCTGCTTCTTCATCATTGTTTTGATCCAATGGTTGTTGTTCATCTTCCCCGATCTACCTATTTGAATTCTCCAATCTGTCTACAGTTGCAGATTCCAGCAATTTCATCCTCAACTGTTCAACCTCCTATGAACCTTTTGATTGACTCTTCAGTGCCACCAATGGATCTACAAACACGTCCATTTCTTCCACTTCATAAGCTTTTTTAATATCCTCCCTTATGATTGTCACGGCATTCTTTAACCTCAACAAAAGAAAATGAGCTACAAAATGGCTTCCAGCCAAATTGTAACTGTATATAACACCTACGTCACCGGCAAACCAACTGTTGCCAGAACGATCCCTTTCCACCACACCTGGATTCTCACCCACTCAAAGCTAAGTCTAAGTCACCCATTCGGCTGAAGCCACCACAATGATCTCTAATAACCTCTATTACTCCTGGGCACCACAACTGCAAAAGGAGACCAAAGATTCAGATCCAAATGCTATATTCCCTTTCCATCTTGCCGTGGGTACGTTGTATAACAGCGCACTTCCCCTCCACCAATCCTATAAAAATGGTTTTCCACCCAGAAACCTCCCTTCTTTTCAGTAAGTGTCATCTTCGCAAGAAAATATGAAAAGGAATACACCTTCAAGACTTCAATCAACTTCTTTATCTTCAATCCCCTCAATGGATTCCACTCTGCCTCCAACCATCTTTCCACCGACTCCAAAGGAGGAATTTCTTTGGTGAATCTGCCAACTAGACATTCTCCCAGAAACTTCATCCTGTTTTCCACCTCCTTTGTAGTGGTTTCTATCCAGAATGTCCCTTTGCCTTTCTTGAAAGCAACTCCCATCTTCCAACCAGCTTCTTCAAACTATAATTTCCTTGAATGAGATATCCTCCCTCACCCCCCCCCCTGAAGCAAGGACATTCCCAGGGGTTCTTTTTCAACTCGAACCCTCTCTTTCTGTGAGACATCCAATGCCAAGCTATTTCAACCAAAAGAGCTATAAAATGAGCTTTGTTACTTTGTTCTTTTTTTTTAATCTTATGCAATAACACCTTTCAACTTTTCTAAATGTGACCAAAATAATGGCTATATTCTTTAATTTATTTTCCTTTCTATGCAATTAACCAACTGCATAATTTCCTTTCTATATTTTTGTTCCCTTAAAATTAACAAGAGGCCAATCCCCTATGTTTGTTTTCTTCTATTCTTTTATTTACTCTGCATGACCCCTCTGCATTAACAGAATAAAGATCCATGATTCCATCCCCTGGCTTTTCATGGGCTATAGAATATCTTAACTCTACTTTTAGCATTTGATACTTTTATGTTCCACACCAACTAGAGAAATAAGCCAATTTCATATGAGAATAAGGAAACAAGATAAAATCATGCAAATGTTTTACATAAAAAATATCAACTGGACTAGGTGCTCCTACTATCACCCAGCCTCAACATGGAAACTTGATTAAGAGTTGGGGTTCTATAATAAGTTTATGATTCCAAATTTCCAGAAAAATATTTACACGCCTTGGAAGGGACGGCATCCATTGCACAGTGAAATTTAAACATACACAGCAGAAACCACAAATCTAATTTCATTGTATGTAGAAAATAAATATGGAGTTTCCTCTGGCATGTAATATACAGTAACCTCAGAGCCAAATGTGGACCACTGTAGTTATTTTGCAATGCTAGATCTTCTGCGGAATGAATTTGAGAAGAACTAGATAAATTTGACACAGTAACCCTTAAGCTACCAGTGTCAGCCTTTGTGCCACAAGAACCTTCTTCCAGCTGTTGATTTACATTACTGAAATCATGACTAGAAGTATAACCATTGAGTTTAGCTTCAGATATTGGAATAAAGGCCTCAGGCTGACAGAAAAGAGCAGCAGCAATAATATTTGCCAAATCCTTGGTTTTAACAATGCGCAAGATGCAACAAAGTAAGTACAGAGAAGTGGTAGCACCAATCAGTTTTTCCTGTAGTTAAATATTACAAAAGGTTAGAAGAAACAAGATGTTCAGACAAAAAAAAATGTATGAGGAACATCAAAAACATGGAATCCACAAATTGCTGAAACATGGAAATGCTTACACTTTTAACAAGGTCCATACTCAGGGAGGAAAAAAGCAATGGAAAAACCAAAAGCTGCAAAATATTCTCTGTTATTAATCTCCCAATATCGGGAATGCCGGCAGAAATGACATCACTGAAATAGTACAGATAATCTTCAATTTCATCCACACCAGCAAGAATGCAGGAGGTTGATTCTGGGCTAGGGTTCCTGTCTCAGTAGCCAAATGACACTTGTTAGGATTACTGTGACAAAAGTTTACACACTGGTAGTTTAAGGGTTACTGTGACAAATTTATACACTGGTATGTCTAAAAAATTTGGAATGTATAAAAAAAGGTGGTTATTCCAATCTCTTACCATAGTGCAAAAGTTTACACAATAGCATGAAATGTATAATATACATTCATTAACATTCTGACTCTTACCTTGAAGCTTCAGAAATCAATTCATCCAATCTGAAGCAGTGGTTCTGGAAGTTTGTAACCAAACTTGAAAAATAATCAGCCAATGCAGCACTGGTAACATATCTATTTACAGACTCATCGCCAACTGCAAATGGAAGAATAAGCAGTGAAGAAAAATCTTTAGGTGCCATTGCAACACAACTACACTTTAGAAGAAAGAGTTTGAAAATGTTTAGGAAAATATAGAAAGTTACCATGATAGACATTAAGGGTCAAAGCACGTACAGCAGTGCGGACCATGCTCTCTTCATGAAAAGCAAAACGTATTGCCTCAGTATATAATGGAAAAGATGTTACCTCATCCTGCAAATAAGAAAAATATAACCTTTTTCATATCAAATATAAATTAAAAAACATGTGAGAACCCACTACTCTATCAAACAAATGTAGACACACTAGCCATGTTAAAGCCTCAACTTTTCAAATAATAAGCAGTCAAAATACCATCCATTGCTACCAGCCATGCAAAAGCATCCACTCTCGGAGAGATAGGGTTACCCCAGATACCTTCAAGAAAAGAGAATTCTATCTGATCTCTTAAGTAAGACTGCAAAAAAAGATTTCACAGTAAATCTTCCATTTTTACATTACTTAAACCATAGCTCAACCTTTGTCAAACTTGAAATCTTCATTTTCTCCAATCTATACAAAGAGCATTCATCCACCTCCCAATCCAATAATGGCCTTCTAAACTTTGAGCACCACACCAATTGCTACCCCCTCATCTCATGGCATTGATTAATCCAAATATCAGTCACTGATACTGAGCCTTCCATACAGCTCCAAATGGTCACGGAAATAATTAATGATATCTTCCCTCAGATTAGTCCCAGAAGGACTCATAGTAGTGGTAGATGATTAAGACTCTTGAGAGGCTAAATTTGTTGCATTAAACTTCCTCTGACCTTGCTGTCGTGGCTTCTTATTTTGATCCGGCTTTTTACTCATTTCCTGAGCCCACTTTGGCTTCCCATCAAGCTCCCAACATTTCTCCCGAGTATGTCTAGACTTCTGATAGTGTGTACACCATAGTTTATCTTTATCATCAACTTTCTTCTGGAATTCACTCTTCTTGAAGGAATTTCCACTACCCGTAGCAACACACCCTTTAGCTACTAAAGCAATATGCTCTCCCTCAGGATTATTCATCACATTCCGTCTACTCTCTTCTGACTGTACTAGAGCATATACTTTTTGTACTGATGGGAGATCTTTACACCCCAATATTTGAACCCTGATAGATTCATATGCGGAATTCAGCCCTAAGAGAAAGGCAAACACTCGTTGTTGGGAAACCATGGTTTCAAATGTCGCGAAATGTCGCCAATGTCGCCCGACATATGTCGGTGTCGAGGCTTAGTGACATGAAAATGAGTTGTAACAAAAATGTCAACCAAGTCGGTCCAAAAAAAGACATCTTTCCTAATATGTCGACTAACGTACAAGAAAAAGAATATGGTTTCACATCTAACAGAAAAAGAGAAAAAAAAAGAGAGAAAAAAAGCATCTGCATGATACAAAACATAATTTCATACACAGAGAATCACACACATGCTTAACAAAATAAAGAACAAGGGGACAACATGTTACAGACATAGAGAATCATCGTACAGATTTTAAGCTTATAAGAAGAAGAAGAAGAAGAGTTTCATACTTCAAGGAAGAAGGGGTTTTTTGTTCCATTACCTGGAGGCTGGAACGAGGAGTTGAGGCTTGGTTTTGGTCTTCTGGAGGTTGCATCAGCAACCAGTTGGAGTTGGAGTCTTGGAGACTTGGAGGCTGAAGTTGGAGTTGGAGTCTTGAGCAACCGAGCAAGTGAGCAATAGCCACTTTTCATCTCAGGTTTTTCAGCCATTCTCAAACTCAAGTAAGAGCATACCCTCTTCCATATTTTTTAGGAGTAAAAAAAAGAAAAAAAAAACTTGAGGCTGAACTTCCGCTGGAAGCTTGTAACTTGAAGCTGATCCTCAAGTTCTGGGTTTTGCAAATGTGATTTGTGAAGGACCGAAGATTGAAGACTTTGAAGATGAAGCAGAGCTCCCTGAGAGCGTTCTCAACTTTACGGTTTCCCTCTTTCGAATGAATTACATTCTAACTGTTAAGAACTTAAGATACTTAGATAGTTAGATTATGTGTTGACATGTTGTTAAATTGTTAAGTATAAAAGTTTAAATATGATGTGTGATGGTCTATGAAATGTCCATAGACCATCACAACAGACACATTAATCTGGGTAGATGCTCTACAATAGATGAAGATCTACCGTAATATCGTAGACCTTCAACAAAATAACTACTTAGTATTTTTAATATAATATAGTATATTATTTAATATAATACAGTATATTATATAGTATATTAGTATATTATTTAGTATTGTTAATTTACTAATATAATATATTAGCATATTATATTAATATAATACAGTATATTAACATAAATTATTCCATTAATATATATTGTATTATATTATATTATATTTAATATTTAACATAAATTATTCCATTAATAATTTATATTTAATATTTCAAAAAAATAATTAACAAAAAAAGAGTAAATTAATTACTTTATAATATAAAACATAAAATATTTTTCAAGTAATAAAATATTAACTACTTAGTATTTTTAAAATATTTATTAAAAATCAGAAAATTTAAATTTTATAATAAATCATAATTTATTCTAAATTTAATATAAAAAATCAGAATAAATTTATTAAAGTTTACACTAAATCATAATTTATTATAAATTTAGTATTAAAAAACAGAACAAATTCATTAAGTTTTATAAGAAATCAGAATTTATTAGAGTCTTAATACTAAAAAAAGGAGAATCAGATTATTAAATTTATAATAAAACATAATGTATTATAACTTTAATATTTAAAAAAATCAGAATAAATGTATTTTTATTTACTAGTGTGAAATAAATATATTAATATTTATAATAAATAAGAATTAACAATAAGAAAAAATCAGATAAGTTTGTAAAAACATCAAAATGCATAACAAATCAGTATATAAGTTAAAACTTATTAAAATAAAATAGTACATTATTTAAATACATAAACAATATATTATTTATATTATATAATATATATTTAAGAACATTAATACCCATTATGTTAATATAAATTACTCATATTGACACATATTTAAACTTAATATTTAAAATAAAATGTTCAGAAAAATTAAGGAAATAAAAACAAAAAGAATATTAACACATATTTAAACTTAATATTTAAAATAATATTAACATAATTTATATTATGATAATATAAATTACTCATATTGACACATAGTTTCTTAGCTTTATATAATGGTTGGGAATAAGATAATAGTCTAGAAATGTGTATTAATGCTTCTTTTATCATTTTACAAAATATCATTGCATATTTCTACATATTTCATAATATTTCCACAATGTCACTAATTTTTACAATATTTCCCCTTGACATTTCCGACATTTCCGACATATGTTCTATATTTTGGTAAGCAACATTTCCATCGACATCGACATTTTAAACCTTGTGGGAAACCAGAGACTTGTATGCTTTGGCATCTGCAATTCTGCATCACATTTCCAGTCTATATTCTGATAGTGATCTAGTTCCTCCCAAATAGAAGTTGGGGCTAAATAGTAGACGGAGAGACTCCCCTCCCCCTATTTACAAGTTGAGGAGGCAGCCTCCAACTGATATATTTAGCATAATGTCGTTGTTCTGAATATCTAGACTTTGCCTGCTCCCATATCTCATGAGCTGTTTTTGCCCACATGAAGGTCTTTCTCACTTGTGGCAGCATAGACAATAACAGCCATGACATCACCATGCTGTTTTCCTGGTCCCACCTATCATGTTCCACACCACTAGACTGGGCTTCTCTGATTCTACCATTGAGATACCCCACTTTTCCCCTTGCAGTTATGTAGAGCTTGATTCCCCTTGACCATTCTAGGTAATTGAGGCTATCAAAGGGAATCACAGCCATGGGGAAACTCATGTCAAAATCTCCACTCATCCCACTCTGACTAGGGGTTACAGCAGACATACCAGAATCTTCAGAAGACATAGAATCTGAAATTGGTTCAGTCACAATCCAGCTAGAGAACAAGTTTTTAGTTCAGTTCAGACTCACAGTACAGTCAAACAGGTTGAAGTCTTAGTTCAGCCACAATCAAACAGGTTGAAGTCTTAGTTCAGCCACAATTCTGGACACAAGAAACTTGTTCTCACACAAAGAAATCAAAACTGATCACACACCATTACTGTTCTCAGATTTCGGCCCTACTGAACCAGTTCAGATGTGTAAAACATAATCAAAGAAAACAGGTCTGACCATTCCCTCTAGCAATAAATCACCAACTTCCACATAGTAACTTAGGTTCAATATGAACAGAAGAAGGAAACAAACTACTGTCACATCAGTTACAGATCTGCAGACCTGAACAAAAAACACCTTTCAGGGCACAAGGAGGATCACTTGATCCACATACATTGAGAGAAGACACTCTCACACCAGCCGCAGGTCATTAGATCCACATAACCCACTCATCTGGGTACCAAAGGATCAGTTCAATCCACAAAACTGAGGAAGAAAGAAGAAAAAACAAACTCACAGCATTCAGTTTCCCTTCCCCATGATGATTTCTGGGCTCACGACCAAGAGAAATGAACCATTTTGCAGTGAGCTCCCTCACACGTCCACCAGAGATCTTTGTTCTTTGGTTCGATCACCAATAGACAAAAAGGGAAAGATTGGATCTGCCGCCCTGCTCCTAAGATTGAATCTGCCGCTCTGATACCATATTTTCTTGGTGCAGAGGTAGTGTGATTCCAGAATAGTGAGAAGAGAAGAAAGAGAAAAGTGAACAGAGAAAAGAGAAAAAAAGGATTTGAGAGAGGAACAATCAACTGGCAGTGCCAGTCTATTTAATATTTATACTAGGGCGACCATACAGAGATAAAAGAAAGGAGAAATTACAAATGTGCCCTTGCGGCACTAAACTTAAAAATAAACTAAGTTATTCAACACTCCACAAAGACTCCTCCCTCATTAACCCAAACCACCAAACCAATTAACCCAACAACAAACTGTTAAAAGGTCTAACCCTTCTAATTCCAATCCCCCCCGTCTCTTTGGCCTACACATCTTGTCTCAACTTACAAGATGAAATTTCTTAACCTTACTTAACCCCTCCTATAACAAGTCACTTTATATCTTCTCCACCTCCTTTGCCATCTTAGTTGGAACCTTCAAAAGAGAGAGATAATATGCAGGTAAACTTGACAGCATACTCTTGATA